CTCACCACCTCGTACACCTAAGAAACGAAAGCGTGTCACTGCTTTTCCAGCTCACAGAGCTTGGCAATTTTCATTTGCTAAAGGAATTATCAAGGTTTGGTTCAGGTTGGTGGTTGTTTTTTTGTTTTGGGTTTTTTTGGGGTTTTTGTGTGGGTTTTTTGTTTGTTTGGTTGGTTGGTTGGTTTTTTTTAAAAGCTTACCCTTTCCCCTGGGAATGCTATGTCTGGATTGGAGATAGCAGCAATTTTTGCCAGAGCATGAGAAGCCTTTATCTTGCCAATGTCTGTGCCTTCCACAGCCAGAGGTATCAGGGCCTAGTGACACACAGGAAAGCATTCAGTGCCTCTGAGAAGATTTACAGGATGGACTTAATATACTAAAATAAGTTTAAAATATCCTAAAGGTGTTTCTGCTGAAGAAATGGGTCTAGATTGTAGCCTGACATGTCTTGCTTTTGTGCTCAAATAAGCACCACACCAGAGCTTGTAGCTCACGCAGTTGTCTCAAGAAGACTGCTTTGCTGCAGGCTTGCAGAGATAGGACTGGAGCATCGGTCTGGGCCCCAGGGGCTACCAAGACAGCTCATGCTTTTCTGCCACGTTCCCTCACTGTAGACATGTTGCAGGCTCCCAACAGACATTAACTGCACACCAGGTCAGGCTGCAAACGTAATCACCTTTCCACCGCCTTGAGCAACAATGGTCCCGCGGTCCTTGGGGTCTTCACACAAGGCAAGAAACACCCTGCAGAAGCACAGCATCACTTAGTGAAACAGCCACGTGGGAAGGCAATAACCCATGGGAAAGGAGCTAAAGCTTTGCAGGGGTGGCAGATCCACCAGGTAAATTCCAGTGCCCACAGCACTCTGGGAGGAAGCAACAAATGGCACAGTAAGAAGTTTCCAGGCCTGTGAGATGAACTGTATTCCAGCCGAAACCAGTACAGAGGACTAAAAATTCAAAATGCATCCTAGCAAGGCAGCCCTGTAAGCCAGCTTCAAGGTCAGAACGTGGATTTTTATGACATTGTTCAAGGAAAACTTTGGTTTTAAATCTT